TATGCAAAATGACTATAAAATCGTTAATTTAAAGCACATAACCAATATTGGCTAATAACTTCTCATATATTGCTCAAATGAGGTGTTTAAATATACCAACGTGATCTACACAACCTCAGGAACACGCCCAAATTTTAAAAATAATTTTGGAGCCGTCACGCGCTGGCAAGGGCACAGCCCTACGCGCCCCCACGCACAACCAAACCTTAACTGAGGCCTAAAGGCTGTTAGGAATATTCCGTTAAATTTAACTAACGCAGTTAGTCACTGTTAGGAATATTTTGTCAAAATTGACAGAATATTCGGTCATCTCCTACCAACTCCGGCGACCGTCGCCGTCGCCGGAAACTGGAAAATCTAAAAATCCTTCTAACTTCTTCATTTACACCAAAATTCATGAAACTTAAACCAAATTGAAGCTTACAATGAATAGAACACATTCTTACCAATTTCAAGCTCTAACAATCACAAGATCTCGCTGGAGAAAGCACGATAATTCCAGCCAACTTTCAAACTCACCAAACTCGACTTCCCGATGTCCAATTTGCTTGGTTTTTCTTCTTTGAGCTTCGTAAGAACATCCTAAAGCTTCCTATGAGATTAAAATCCCATGAAACATCATAATTATGACGACATGAACAGTACTCAAATCAGGGGTGATGGTTTCTCGGGGTTTTGAAGGTTTCACTATCTAAAAATGGCATACATGAACTTAGAGACTTGCAAGGAGTTCGAATCTTACCTTCTTGACGTTGATTTGTGCGTGAAATGTGAGTTTGGTGTTCGTCCGTAATGGTAGGAAGGCCAAGAAAAGGAGAGAGAGAGTGCACGAGGTTGTTTTTGTGTGTGTGTGTGTGTGTCTTCACTTGGTCGCCAACCAAAACAAACAAAAGTTTAACTTTTAATTGAATCCAAAACTTAGGAACTCAACATATTGGTCTACATCCCAAAAGTATGTCACACACATCACAATCTCAACGTCCAAGGATAAAACCGTCATTTCACACCGTCGAAACTAAATATTTCGGGACGGACTGTGACAGCTCCTTTGAATATTTTGAGTAGTCCAAATCCTTGGTTAGTGCAAATTCTCCTACGAATATTCTGGGTAGTTCACATAATCTTCTTGCAAACCCTAGACTTAGACCTCGAACAGATGTCCACATTTTTTGGGACCTTAAACTTTTTAAACTTCACCCCTCACCCGATAATTTTGTGTGTATATATATATATATAGATATCCTAAATTAATACTCATGTGGGTTTTTATTTGATACATGTAGTTCACAGGTGATTGTATGTATGCATGCATGCACGCATGTATGTATTATGTAAGTCATTACATAAATGAATATAAATAAATTAGATTGAGGTATATTTTCTCTAACTACATGGTCTAGTATGATGTCATACATGTCAAATTGTCTAACTTGGATTACACATTTGAAAGAAATCTGACCAACATGCATGCACCACTAAATCCAAATAGTCCAATGAAATAATCATATGCATTGCTATAAGGCTTATTAGCCGAAAATGCCCTCCCCCCCCCCCCCAAAAAAAAAACTGCCATTGAATTTCAGTTTACCCCCTAAAACTGGTTTTGTCTCAATTTATCCTCTGAAAACTGAAATTTTCAACTTTTTTGTCTCACTTTACCCGCTTTTGTTAATTGGATTGTTAAATTTAAGGGTATTTTAGATATTTCAATTTTTACACATTTATGTACCTCTAGCCTACACACTAAACAAGTCTTAATTTTATTTTTGGCAACTCTAATTCAAACGCATAAATTTTGGGCATTTTTAAAAATAAATTATTCAATCAATAGAAAATTTTTGAGCAACAAAATCATTGTATCAACCAAAATTTGTTCGTAGAGTTACCATTAAGCTATCATATCCAAACTTCCCAAACCAAAAAAAATCATTTAAAGCAAATGTGCACAAATTTTATTTTAAAAAATGCCCAAAATTTATGTGTTTGAATTAGAGTTGTTAAAAATAAAATTGAGAGGGTTAGAGGTAAATAAATGATAAAAACTTAAATGTCTAAAATGCACTTAAATTTAATAGTCCATTAACAGAAGTGGGTAAAGTGAGACAATTGAGTTGAAAATGTATCTCTTTCCCACATATTTTTTTTTTCTTTTTAAAAAAAGGGACAACTGGTGACAAACCACAGTTATCCATTCATTCCATCCATGGCTGATCATTTTTTTCCTCTCTTTATTTTCTATGAGAAATATTCTAAACCATTCTAATTTATGCAAAAGAAGATCGAACTTCGATGCAAGGAACAGGCACATTACCCTGACCCAACTGACCTAAATTACGTTAGGCTGATCAATTTAACAGCTTAAAATTTAGGGCATGTGATCATGAACATGTGATTAAGAGTAAATGCACGTAGTATATTAGTTTATACCTCTTGGAGAGTTGAGTTGCTCACCCAGAAATTCACATGAATTGTTGGCATTACATCAATGTTGCTTTCAATAGACTCTTAACTATTAAGTCACCCATTCAATCACAGATCTGGCTTCAGGATGAGTGGCAAACAATTCATGTGACCTAGTTATATGTATAATATTGAACATTTCCAATACAGAAGTTTTTTCAATACTATGTAGCATTAAATCATATATGAATGAATGATTGAGATTGGAAATCAAGTCTAACACCTAATACACTCACAGCATTGAATGACAGTAACATTGAAGCCATGACCTCGTAGCAAAATTAATACTTTTAACCACTTGAACTAAGCGGAGCAGTGCAAAGCCAGAGATAATTGGATAGGTCACCTTTACTGACATGTACCGCAAAGAGGAAGAACATACGCAGAGTAATGCTGTGGGATTTCAGGCCACAAATTTAAAGCAATTTGGAGACATTGCACCATAACATAAAAAGGACATCTAACTTTCCGAATGACTGGAAAATTAATGGGTTTTACTATGCCTGCCACAATTTCAAAGCAATTTGAAAGTTGTACTAAACCATAAAAGTGACTTCTAGCTTTCATTTGATAATGATGGCAAATTAATCACAAATCTAAGCCATCTTACCAATAGTGGAATCAAGAAAAGTATACCGTTTCTGATGCAAGAACTAGCATATAATCTGCACAACGATAAAATTTTCGCATAGGTTCGGACTAATTATGTCTTAACTTGCGTTGCCTCTGGAGCGAATTAAAATGAGATTAACAAGAAGTTCAACTAGTGATGAGAATACAGAAATTGTCTTCAAGGCGCTAGCTACATCAAGATTAACGAAGCGGCTCAACTAGTGTATATAACATTAAAAGCTTCAAAAAGTTCGGCTCTATCAGTTTCAGATCATATCAGTTAAAGCAATCACCGGTAGATGAGCATACCATAAAGGAGCAGAATAACGAATAAAGTTATATGCATAAAATACGCAAAGATTGTAATTTCTATCACTAATTGAATTGCAAGAAACCCTATGTCTATTGTACAACAGAGGTTCCAGTAAATTTACTTGGTAGACAAACTCCTACTGTTCGAAACATGGTGGCACCTGACCGTCAGGCTCCTTTCAACACTTTGAATGGAATCTTCCAAATGACAGTGACATCAAATCGATGCTTGAGTTTCTACCATCATTTAAGTGAACCTTACGTAATTCTGCACCCAGATTCCTGCACACACAGAAAAATCACTACCTCTTTCTTAACGTGTCACCTTCACTGGTCTAACAAGTTGTTGACCCTAAAAACTACCAAACCTACGTGACGCGCAGGCCGTGTAACTAATGAGCTAACTACATCCTTCGGTTGTGTGTGGGGCGTGCCAATTCGTCGGCCGAGCTCGGCCGGAGAGTAAAATGTGTTCATTTGGCGTTGGACGCGCTGCTGACGTTTTGATCTTATGACTGCGGTTGAGGAAGGAACACGTCTCGACCTTCAAGTTCTAGAGCCTGAAGACAAGGCTGCTAGTTTTACGAAGTTCATGGATCGTCGGCACCAGGTTCGGTCACAATGATTACATTCGTAAGAGTATAGGCACACCGAACTGGTACCAAACTATACAAACACAAGTACTCAAAAGAGATGTCTTGATGGTGAATGTGGTTCGACCGTCAGAATGCCGAATTCTAAAACTCATTTGTTAATAACCAATCATAAGCAACTCGACATTCAATGTGCCAAGTCCAGTAAGTCGTAACACCTCACTTCGCCGAAAAGACTAATGAAATGACCTCTGCTAGTAAGGATTCGAAAATCATTCTCGATCGAGACTTGGATAGGTAATCAGTCAGCTTCAACGTAGTGCTGTTTATCCAAACTGAAGGTGTCGCCGATTGCCTTCACACTACTATATATCAAAACTGGAGATGTGTTGGTGAAAAAGAAAAATAAAAATCTCAAGGTTGTTAAGAGGTTTTGCGTAGAGCAAGAATTTGCCCATGACAGTTTGTGTGTTGAAGTGGAGGGGTTGGCATGTTGCACATCATCTAATATTTATAGTAGTGAGGTCTCCTTCATACTTTTTAGCTGCGACCTGCCAATACGTTTTCCAAATTGCACCCGTCTCTTTGTGATGCTATCGGAATATTCTTGATATACCACCAGTGACCAAACCAAATCCCTTTTGATCTCCTTGTGAACCTAAATTTCTTGATAGAAATTCAACGCGTATGTCGAGCCCAATAACGTGGCCTTCCATTAATATTAAAACAACTCATCCAGCCATGATACCTAATTCCACACGCTTCAACATGCAAAGCTAATTGCAAGCAGATAGCAATATCATCACTTGTGATTATCACATCACATTATTTTTACCTCATCATTATCCCATGCATGCATGAAGATCATGCATCTTAACAATTCTGATCAAACCCATGATGCACCAATACGATGACAAGAATTCCAATCCTATTCGAACTACATCGCTTGCTTGGGGATATAATATGCATCCTATCTATCCTGTTTAAGAATATGCCAAGACAATTCATATTAAAAAATAATTATTATGATAAAAACCATAATATTATCCTTTAAAAATAACAAAATTATCTTCACTTTTCATCCAACGGTTGGGAGCAATGCTCACTCAATGGCCTTGATTGCACGGGCCGATAATGTAATTTTGGGTCCAAACACAACGAGATAAATTACCTTGTAGGAATTAGATTTGTGTTTCCATATATACAAATTTCAAAGATTCTTGGAGTGTTCTTCGGATGATCTGTAAATACGATATGCAGCAAAACACATTGTGGCATTCCCTATTACTGTCAGGGCTGCTTGAAGAGCAACCAGTACCTGCAACTCATTGAGGAGGGCCAAAGTCAATGTAGAATTTTTTTCTCAAATTCAGTTGCTGTTGTAATTGAAGGGACAAATTCATAAGAATCTAGCTATTGATTATTAACAAGTTATGATCAAGATCAAAACTCTGTTTTTAGTTTGAGTTATTTCATTTCCCCGCCTCTTAAACATATCAAGTTTTGTAAAAACATGGAAGAGACACTGCCGTGCTTACTTCAAGAGAATCAGAGTTATAAAAGAAATGCCATGTGCATGCACATAATGCTCCACCAAGCAAGGGAACCTACACCAGTCAATTAAAAGTTCAACTGAGACAGTAGACATTTGAATATTTACACAAACTGCAAAGCAAGCTCTATGTAAATCTCCTTAACCAGCCGGCCCCCAACTCTATTTTCTTCCCCAAGGGATAAATAGTAACTTGGAGACCTAAACTTTTGACTTAAGACTAAATAAGATAAAAGCCGAGTTCTAAAATATGAGTCCCTAATCCGTTTGAATTGTAAAGTCAGTTAATAAGTAGAAATGAGGCTGCCAACTTAAGTTGTAACCTCTCTCTCAAAAAAAAAAAAAAACTTAAGTTGTAACTTGTGAGCTTGTTTGTTGGTGCCCTTATATTCTAACTTCCAAGCAACTTAGCAAAAATAAGAAATTCAAAGATGATATCTATTCAAGTAAACAATGGTTGGCACAGAAGTACCAGGTAACGGAAATCTACCATTCTGGAAGACTGGTGACCTGTTCCAATCTTGCTTGGTTGGTGACTCATGATAATGGAGGCCCTATGCTTTTGCTATCTCCTCACTAGTGTGTGTTGTGTAAAGACGAGGATGAGTCAGCTGAAGCATACGTGTTTACGTGTCTTCTTTACTTGGAAATTTTTTAGTAGATTGTTCCTACATTTGGTATAAACTGTTACTTCTTGCTGAGTTTATGGGGATTTGGGCAAACGAGATAGCTTTTCCTCCTTGGTATTCTGCAGTTCTGACCTCTACTTGGATTGTGCGGTTGGAGAGGAAAAGTAGGATCTTTGACAATAGGCAGAGATTTTTTAATTTTATTTCAATCCCCCCTTTGGGAATCATTGCCTAAACACTTTAGAAGCATTCCTTTTAGTATCGTCCTTCCTGATTCACAGGGAGATTTAGGTTGACGGTTGGTGTGCTAGGCTTGTGCTCATAGTTAGTTTTCCCTAGGTGCTATGTTAGTAGTATTGAGTGTCTCCTTGTTTTTCACTTCATTCTATTCCTCTATAAAGTTCATGTTACCTATCTCATAAATAAACACAAAACAGGAAGAACAGAAAACATTAGTCAAATTTCTGCTCCTACGCAGGCGTGCCGCTTCAGACATTCACTCAAAAGGGAATATGAAAATCCTATGTAATGTAATTCCACTGTAATTTTCATTTCAATTGCAAATCTCCCCACTTATACTAGCAATAGGAAAAATATTTAGTTATTTGATATGAATAGTACGGTTTCAGCCGAAAAACTAGTGGAACAAAGGGAACAATCTTAAAAGTACTTAAATGGAGTAACAAGTTCTACATTATTCATGATAACAATTTCTGCTAATTGGTTTTATCATTCGACCATTGATCGCTCCAAACAACCATATAAAATCGAAAATTCATTGCGGTAATTTGTAGGACTGGAATATGAACTCACCATCCCCCAAGACAGCCCTTTCCAAGATTCGAACCCGGACTTCTCCCCGTACTGCCACACCAATGCCATTGCTGTAACCCTTACAACCAAACAAACCAAATTCAAATTAACAAACCAACAAACCATTAGTGTGAAATATTCAATCCAATTAACAAGAAAATGCAAATTTAAAACAAATTCACGGAACCCCATTTGCAAAAATCACAAGAAGATGAGAGAGTAATGCTCTCTCTCTCTCTCTCTCTCTCTCTCTCTCTCTCTCTCACCATTCAACGACGCTGGAAACGTGAATGGCCCAGGTGGGCAACGAGAGGGCATTGGAGGGTTCATTCAAGGGCAGCAGCTCAGAAGCTGAGGCGGGTCCGACGAAGGCCAGGGTCAGACCAGCCCCGAGTACACCCACCAAGATTTTGGGGTAATGGTGGAATTTGGCGGTTGGGTTTGAGGTTTTGGGCGCGGAAGGAAAAGGGATTTGCGCGGGAAAGTGGGTTTTGGAAGGTGAAGTAAGGAGTGCATTGCCATGGCCGTTGGGCTTTTCTGTCTCAAGAATTGCCCACTGAGGTTTTGAAGCAGCAGCAGGGTTGGAGACGGAGGGTATAATGGGAACTTACTTGAGGTCCTTCTGGTAGTCACTTACTTTGGATAAGGTAGTCATACGGGTGGGTGTAAGTTGGTTTGAGTCGGATTTGTGCCAAAATTGCAAACCGAAATTGACCAAGTTGGATCTAAAACCGATTAGGTTGGTTAACCAAATGTGGCGAGTTGATTTGGATTGGTTCTAGGTTTGCATGAAGACGAAAATACATAATAAATTTTTCTTCTAAAACCTACATAACATAACACTAATACAAGTGATTGCTCAAAAGAAATCACAAATGAAGCAGTCCAAGGAGAGCACCAAAACAGTAGCTGCTGCGTTTTCCAAATGGTGCCCCTGTTCTTCTTCAAAGGGACTCTTAAACTAATCAGGTTTTGTTTTTATGTGGTGGAAACACGTTAACTCATAAATAACTAACCATTCATATTACTACACGTATTAATTACGATTAAAAAAATTAAAATTAAATATATGCGGGTCGGTTCGATTAATCGCTTCCTAAGAATTTTAGGAACCGATTGCCAAACTGATTAAGGTCTGTGCGGTTTGGTTTAGCCACCAAAAAAAAAAAAGGCCAAACTATCTATGTAGTACGAGCGGTTAAGAATTAGTTTTTCTTTCTTTTTTTTTTTTTTTTTTTTAATGCCCAATCCTAGGTAGTCATCACTCGTAGAGTATAAGGGTGCATTTGTTGCACCGGACTTCTCGGATTGGATTAGCTTCAGGAATTAAGCTGAATTGGATTAGACTATACTAAGGTGGGATTAACTTAGTTATGCGTTTGGTGCTGTGTCTGACTAAAAAGCAGGACAATTAACAAATTTTAATATTATTGTGAACACGGAAAATTCCTGAAACGAAAGAGACAGGAACAACGCGCACAAACAAATATTTTGTATTTGATGATTTTGGGTTACAATCTCTCTCTATTTTGATCCTCTGATTCGATCTCCGTAAGGTGTTGATTTGTGGATGTTTCGTTGATCCAAGGGCCGTTGATGCTTGATCTTGGATGAACTGTTGGAAGTTTCTTCAAAGGGTCGTGGGCTTGATCTTTGAAGGTGGATTTGAGCGGATCTTCAAGGAGCCGTTGGGGCTTGATCTTGAAGAACAGTGATGAACGAATCTTCAAGGGGTTTTGGGCTTGATCTTGAAGAACAGTGATGAACAGATCTTCAAGGGCTTTTGGGCTTAATCTTGAAGAACGGTTGGATGTGTGTGGATTTGTCGACGTTGTTGATCCAAAGGGCCGTTGGGGCTTGATCTTGGATGAACGGATGATGAACGATGATGCTTTCTTCAAGGGCCGTCGGGGCTTGATCTTGAAAGAACGATGAACGAAGAATGAAGAAGGCTTTCTTGATTCTTCGGGAACCTGGATGCTTGAGAGCTTCGGAGTTTCAGAGCTTCAGAGCTTCAAGGTCTAATATGAATTCGTCCCCTAAATGAATGAAATGGGCTTGTATTTATAGAATTTTCCAAGGCCTAATTTTGAATATAATATCCCAGATGAAATAAGTCGTTTCTGCCAGGTGTTGACACGTGTCCTATTTGATGACTTTTCCAACTCATTTTCAATTTTTGTTGAGTCACATGCTACGTGTAAAATTTATGTAATACATGAGCGTTGACACTTTGATTTATCGGTCAACATTTATTTACCGAAATTTCGATGTCTACAAATGCCCCCACTTCAAGGCGCGCCGTATACATGTGCTTGTCGCGCGTGTAGGAGATGCGTTTTGAAGTCCCTTAATGTAGATGTCGATCCAAGGGCCGTCGAGGCTTGATCTTGAATTGGGCTTGAGATTTCTTCAAGGGCCGTTGAGGCTTGATCTTGAACTTTGTTTGAAATTCTTCAAGGGCCGTCGAGGCTTGATCTTGAAGGTTGAAATTGGACCACAAGGAGCTTCATGTGGTAGATGATCTTTGGCTTTGGTAGTGGGTGAATCGGCACATATTTTGTTGCGCTTGTTGACTTTCCACAGCTTTGATTTTGAACTGGGGTTGAAGGATTTTCTGGATTCCTCCAATTGTTGATTTTCCACAGCTTATTCTTGAACTAGGTTTTGATTCAAGGGTGGTAGACACTTAATCTTGAATCGGACTTGTGATTTCTTCCAGGGCCGTCGAGGCTTGATTTTGAATTTGGCTGGAAGCTTCTTCAAGGGCCGTTGAGGCTTGATTCTTGAAGGCTGACTCGAACACGTGGCAAGCAGGCACGAGGTGAAGGTGATGACTTGTTGCTTTGTTCAATCTTTCTAATTCACACATGAGCAGTTTGGTCAACGGTATGATCTTCAAGATTGATGGGCTCTTCTTCCAGTTGGTGACTTGATCTTTAA